TTCTAAAGATCAGCCAGGGCTGATGTCCTCTAGGACTAACCGGTTGGATGGCCTTGCAGTCCAAGGGACTCGCAAGAGTCTTCTCCAGCACCAGATTTCAAAAGCCTCCATTCTTTGGCGCTCAGCCTTCCTTATGGTCCAACTTTCACAGCCACACATTGCAACTGGGAAAACCACAGCCTTGACTAGACACACTTTGGCAGGGTGATGTCTCTGCTTTTTAGTATGCTGTCTAGATTTGCCATAGCCTTCCTCCCCAGGAGCAAGCATCTTTTAATTTCTTGGCCGCAATCCCCATCTGCGGTGATGTTGAAGCCTAGGAAAATAAAATCTGTCACTACCTCTATTTCTTCCTCATCTATTTGCCAGAGATTGGGAGTTAAAGTTTATTCTTTAATTGAAAAGTAATACATGTTGAGGTTTAGTAGGGAAAAAAAACCAGCCTTGATCAAGCTTTTTCTTTCTTCCAGATGTTGGCCCTTTTGTTAGCTATCAGCACTCATGGTCTCGAACAGGTTCTATTTTCTTACTGAAGCTGTGTTAAGTCTGTTGCAGTAAAAACACCGGAACATCTTGTGGCACTTTTAAAGAGAAACAGATATTTTTAAGGGCCTAAACCTTGTGGGATATAGTCTTTATTCCTCCGAGTGCCTGAATATCATGCAGGTTGCAGGAAGATTTTGACGTGGAATCCTTACTTGCTTTGGTGGGCTTGGAGTCCATTTTGTGTTCAGCTACTAGAGGAAATTTTTCTTCTTTAGGGACTCCTCCTCTTAAAAACCATGGAAATGTCTTCTGGGGATGTTCAAGAGAGGTGTCAGGAGAGGAATTAACAACATGCTTGTTTAAACCAGTATTTAATTTTGAATTGTTCCTAGTTATTCCTACCCTGCTGGTTTCTGCTTTTCCTTCGACTCTGCTGAACAATGCCTAAACATTGGGCTAGCTAGGAAAATCGTACAAATAACTTTGTAGTCAGAGCAAAGAAGTGCCTTATTAAAGGATTGATTCAATTAGTCTGGAGAGAGAAAAATTCTGTTTAACGTTTATTATTTGCCATACGTAGGAGAACTCCTCTGATGTAATATTCACCATTCCTTAAAATATTAACTTCATTAATTGTTTCAAATGAATGCAGGGCATGTATTCTGAATGAAAACTATTAAGGCAGCTCTTAAGTGTGAAACCAAGCAATTGTGAAGTGTCTTTTCCAAATTTTGAATACTTGGGAGAATTATTGATTATTGTAGTTGGATGGTGTATGCTTATATATGGATGGTCCTTTTCTTTAGTTGCAAGAGACTCCAATCCCCTAAACTATTTCTCTCTTTTTAAGCCCTTCTTATGCCTACAATATTTTGCTTAGGTAGACCAATGTTTATTCTCACATTCATACTAGCTTATAGGCCGGGCAAGGTGGCTATTACAAATAAATACCCTTTACTTTACTATTTATTTCCATTATTGACTTGGGTTGTGCCCTTGGGGGCACAACTGAGGTTGTACCAATTTTTTTTTACAACCAACTTGGCAGAGCTCTGTATCTATAAGGTAAAGGTTCCCCTTGCGCATATGTGCTAGTCGTTCCCGACTCTAGGGGGCGGTGCTCATCTCCGTTTCAAAGCCGAAGAGCCAGCATTGTCAGAAGACATCTCCGTGGTCATGTGGCTGGCATAACTCAATGCCGAAGGCGCACGGAACACTGTTACTTTCCCACCAAAGGTGGTCCCTAGTTTTTTAGTTGCATTTTTTACATGCTTTCAAACTGCTAGGTTGGCAGAAGCTGGGACAAGTAACGGGAGCTCACTCTGCACTTTGGCATTTAGTCATGCCGGCCACATGACCACGGAGACATCTTCAGACAGCGCGGTCTTTTCGGCTACGAAACGGAGATGAGCACCGCCCCCCAGAGTCGGGAACGACTAGCACATATGTGCGAGGGGAAACTTTACTTTTAGTTTAAATAGACAATTGCATTTCCTTGGTGCTGCCCTCTTGACATTTCTCACCAGTGGAGAGACCCTGATTCTTCAGCACCGGAGGCCAACTGTAGGGCACACCAGAAGGTAGAGAAGTTTAATACCTAATATACTTTGCAGATCAATCACATCAATAGGTTGAGAAAGAGCCATGCCTCATTCACCAGATCTACTCTCTTCAGAGCTGCTTCCTACACCTCCACGTAGAGTCTGTTACGATGCCTAGATAAGGGACTCCCCAAAGCTGTAGTAATACCTGTAAATGATTTGTCACCTGGTTTGACCTCTTTCCGTGAGGAATCTTCCCTGCCAGTTTTATCACACTGTTTTGCCAGCATGGATGCATGGGAATTTCTCTGTAATGTTGACCCACTTGGTTGTCACTAGGTAAGTGTCAGCCTCTGCTTTGCTGCTGCTTCGGCTGCTATTGAAACGGGGAGGGGGGGCATGGTATTTGGGAGGGGACTACTAATTGTGCTGGAGGAAGATTCTGGAGTTTCTGCTGCCTGTCTTACTGTGCATGCGGAGGAGGTTTCTCGCCAAGGCCAACGGCACCGACATTCCATCTTGGTGATGCCTTTCGAAGTTATCTCACACCTGACACTTGGGAGAATTATGATTGGACTGTAACTAGGATGCCAAGGGGTGGGGAATGGGTTATTCTATATATCATTTGCTTTCGCGCCTAAATAATCAATCTTCGCTTTGCTACGCTTCTGATCATTTATAATTAGTAAAAGTACACTTGATTTCTATCAATGGAGTCTCGTGGTTTTCTTTCCTAATTATTCAATGGAGGAGTGCTGACAGTAAGTGACTTAAGCGCTAGTAAACAATGCAACATGGAGTATGCCTACTCCAACATGAAGTTGTTTTCAGCAGCCTGTGTTGTGGACTCCTAAGCCCCCAAAAAAGAAAACAATACAGGTACCCCCTCGACTTAACAACAGTCTGCTTAGTGACCGTCCAAAGTTATAACAGCACTTAAAAAAGAGATTTACGACCTTTTTTCACACTTGTGACTGTTGCGGCCATAAGTGGCCACGTGATCGAACTGTGGACGCTTGGCAACTGGCTTGTATTTCTGGCCGTCGCTGTGTCCCGCAGGTCACGTTATTACGTTTTGCGACCTTCTGGCCAGCAAAGTCAATGGGGCAGCCAGGTTCACTTAACGACCATGTTCCCGACATAACCACTGCAATGATTTGCTTGAGAACCCTGGCAAGAAAAATCATAAAACGGGGGCAAATCTCACGTAGCAATTTCTGTCTTGCTAAGCAACATAAATTTTGGGCTCTATGGAGGTTGTAAGTTGAGGACTACCCGCAGTGATTAACTTATAGGTGAACCTGTGTAAAATAGCCTCGATATCTCTTTAGTAGAACGTGTCTACTTTTGTCAGAATCCATTTCAGGTAACTTTTATCTCCTTGTGACCTACAAAGTATTAGCTTGTTCTCCCACCTGTTTAATTCATTTGAATGGTGACAGAAGAACTCATTTAAATAGGAGCTTTCAGAATACTTGAGGATGCTCAACACACTACGTGGATTTTTTTAAAAAATTGCATGTATCTGCCTGTCGGTGGAAGACGGCTACAACTCTGCTTAAAAAACTTGGTTAATTTGCAGCAAACAAGTTAAAACACCCCATTCCTGTAGCTTGTTCAGCGAGACTTGCATTGGTGTTGCTGGCATAGGGTGGCTTATAAGGTGATTTCCATAAGTGCAGCGGATGAGTCTTGATTTCCTATGTAATTAATTACGGGCTACGGATACTCTTTAATTGCCCTGGTTTCACCCCGCAGTCTCCACAGAGGCCCAAATCTTTTCTTGCTCCTTCCGGAGTCTTCGGTCTTTCAACACCCCATCTCGTTCCTTTCTCCGCCCTGTGCTACGCCAAATGCGTTTGTGCAATGGCACGCCCTATCAAAAGACAATGATGGCAGCGGTCCACCATCATTTCATCTCTGTGTGTGGCGTGGCATCTTGGGTTATGCCCTCAAAGCAACACAGGTGAAATTTCATCCTGGGATATACATCTCATAAATAGGAGTGGCCTAGTGGCAGAGCTCTCGCCTCACAATCGGGAGACTGTGAGTTTGATCCTGGGTGGAGGCGGATATTTCTCTCTCTGGGCACAATGAGAATATATCTGCTGAACAAAACTCCTCATTGGCAACAGGAAGGGCATCTGGCCAATAAACACTCTGGTAGCTTCATTCAGTTCACCAGACTCCACCCTACAAAGGATTATGGGACCGTTAAAAGATGATGATGATATACATGTCATAAATATCGATTTTTTCGGACTATAAGACGCATGTAAATTTACAGGAAGAAAACAGAAAAAAAGTAGTTTTTGACCTCGCATGCGTTGTGTTTTCGCCCTCCCAGGCCCCCAGAAGCACTCTGCAGTGCTCTGCTTGGTCCATTTTTGCCAAATACGGGTCCGTTTCTGGTCTGCAGAGTGCTTTTGGGGGCCTGGGAGGGCAGAAACGCAATGCGTGGAGGGTTTGGGAGCCCAAAAACGGACTGTTTTTTTGCAAAAATGGGATGTGCGGAACACTGCAGCATGCTTCTTTGGGCTGGGGAGGGTGAAAACGCAATGCGTGGAGAGTTTGGGTGGCCCGAAACACCCCTATTCAGTCTATAAGACACACCTAATTTTTCACCCACTTTTAGGGGCCGGAAGGTGCGTCTTACACTTGAAAATATACGTTAAATGCATTTTTTAGGCTAAGGTTTTTTTTAAAGAGTTTTTATATCCTGCTTTCTGGCTGCCTTGTGAAAAGCCATCTAAAACGAACAATAACTCCAGCATCCAATATCTGTGCTACGGTTGGTGGGGTTTGTTGGGCTGACCCTTTCTTTTTCCTCTCCTCAAGGTGCCGATAATGGCGGGGCATCATCTGGCAACTCCTCAGGAATCCCGTCCAGCACCCCAGCCGGCAATTCAAAATCAGGTTCCAGGAACTTGAGCACATCCACCGGAGAAAAAGAGGAAGGCAAGAAAGTGAGGCGTCAGTGGGAATCCTGGAGCACGGAGGACAAGAATACCTTCTTTGAAGGCCTCTATGAGGTGGGTGCTTCGAAATGCTGGGAAACAGGTTGTCCTCGACTCACGGGAGTTCATTTAGTGACCATTTGAAGTTGCAACGGCACTGCCTTATAAGGTGACTTACGGCCGTTTTTCACATTTAGCGACCGACCGATGCAGCGTCCCCCTTGGTCACGTGTCCAAAATTTGGATGCTTGGTAACTGGCTCAGAATTTTATGCATTAAATGACTTGTGCCCAAGATGGTTGTTAAGTGAGTCATCCCAATTTTGCCAGGGTTAAGTGAGTTACTGCAGTTTTTAAGGGAATCACACAGTCATTAAGTGAATCCCGGGTTTCTCATTGATTTCGCTGGTCAGAAGCCTAGCTTGGAAGGTCGCAAATGGTGATCACAGCACACTCCGGGATGCTGCAGCTATCATAGATAAATGTGAGTTGCCAAGTGCAGGTTGTTAAGTAACTCACGACTGTTGCTAAGTGAATCACTTAGTCTTCTGGTCACGCCTCCTTTGACTGTGTGTGCCCCAGTTTGACTCAGTCTTTGCTCAGAAGAGAGGTGTGGAAGAGTGCTCTTAGGAGAAAGACAGAGTTATTTGTTGGATTCTGGAAATTTTACAGTAAAGTCTCCAGCTCCACATTAGCCTTCACAGGATAGCGAATGGCTAGGCTGACTCCCCCGGTCTGTCCGGCATAGCCGTCCTTGTCCCAGCTGGTTCCCCAGTCTGTCCAGCAAAACCACTTCATCCCAACCATTGGCCGTCTCCCCAGTCCACCCGGCATAGCCGCCTTCGTCCTGATTGACTTCCCTGGTCTGTCCAGCACTCCCCAGCCTCTAGTCTGTACAGCCATTTGTCGACTCTGCAGGAAATCTCCCGTAAATTTAGATATCAAACTGTCCGGCGATATGATGCGAGAACGCACACGCTTCCCAAAAGCCTGCGAGCGTTTGACCCAACTCTGGGAAGTGTGTGTCATCCAGTTATTCCTGCTGCCCCACTTCTCACCTTGTAATATTTGCATATATTTTTTCCCTCCCAGCACGGCAAAGACTTTGAAGCGATTCAGAACAATATTGCCCTGAAGTACAAGAAGAAAAGCAAGCCCGCAAGCATGGTGAAGAACAAGGAGCAGGTCCGGCACTTCTATTATCGCACTTGGCACAAGATTTCCAAATACATTGACTTTGATAATGGTGAGCACACCCCGAAAGGTTAGCTTGGCTTCTCTGAACGACGCAACAAGCGTAGTTTATCTTTGGATTTGACTGGTGGTAGATAGGGGGGTCGTAAGGAATGTTTAGGATTTGCCCAGAGCAACCAGGCCTCCATCCAATGGAGTTTTGCCCCTATTTGATGACTTTTCTCGCCACGTTTGTTTAGTTCAGTTTACTTTATTGTCATTGCACCTCGTACAACGCAATTAAATGCCATCTTCAGTCTACATTATAACTATAAAAATAAAAACACAAAGACGCATCCTTCACATGCTATGTGATTGAAATTGAAAACCCAATATTGCATTAATATTGAAGTATACCATAGAATTCAGCATATTTACTGCCCTGGGATGGAAGCTGTTTTTCAGCCTATTTGTCCTTGTTTTTGTTATCCTGTACCATCTGCCAGAGGGTAATAGTTTAAAAAAAAGGGTGTCCAGGATGAGATAGATCTTTAAGGATGTTTTGAACTTTCTTAAGGCAGCGGGAGCTATCAAGCTCTGCCGAACAGGGGAGTGGGCAACCCATAATCCTCTGGGCAATGACGTTGACCCTCTGGAGCGCTCTCCTATCTGCCACTGTCCAATTGGCAAACCACACACAGGCGCAGTAAGTTAAAATACCCTCTATGGTGCAGCGGTAGATGGTCACCAGCAGTTTTTCCTTCAGTTGTTCTTTCCTGAGAAGTCTCAGGTCGTATCATCTCTGCTGGGCCCTTTTGACCAGGGCTGCAATGTGAGGCACCCCAGGTCAAGTCCTACTTTGTGGTAACAAGTTAAGTGAATCATTGCAGTTCTTCAATTAGCAACATGGCTCTTAAGTGAATCCGGTTTCCCCATTTACTTTCCTTGTCAGAAGGTTGCAAAAGGGGATCACATGACTCTAGGACACTGCGACCGTCATAAACGTGAGTTAGCTGTCAAGCATCCAAACGTAAATCATGTCTCCATAGGGATGGGATGCTGCAATGGTCATGTGTGAAAGAATGGTCATGAGCCGCTTTTTTCAACATCGGAACTTTGAATGATCACTCAACAAGCTTTTGTAAGTCAAGGACTCCTTGTATTAGTACGGTGCTTCCATGGTGGAGGCTTGGCTGGTGACATCTCTGTTGCTTGGGAGACACTCAGTTCACGCATCCCCATGAAGTTACTCCTCAAAGTGGTACCCATTTATCTACTCGCAGTCACCTGCTTTCAAACCGCTGGGTCAGTGAGAGCCAGAGCATGTGATGGGAGCTCACCAGCAGTGGGTTCGGATCCCGGTGCAACCAGTACGGTGCAACAGAGCCGGCGTCCACCACATGAATGTACGCACACGTGCGCATGCGTCCTTACCACCTGCAATGCTCCAGCTGCTCGACAGAGTGCCGCGCAGGTGCCGTACACTCCATGCATGGAAGTGCCAAAGAGCATACAGTAAGGAGGGCAGGTGGGCCCTCCGGAGCACAGTACCGGAACGGTTCCCGGTGCTTCTGACAGGCACCGGAAATGCCCGTGCCGGGGCGTACCGCCTGCAACCCACAACGAGCTCACCCACCCCGCAGCAGCAATGGGTCTCGAACGCAAGGCTCCCGATCATCAGTTCAGTGTTCTACCTTCGTGAGCCACCACGCTCCTTCAGTTGTCATGCAATGCATAAAGTAAAAAACAGTATGAGGATAGAAGAGTTCTATAGAAACGTGGCATTTTTTATACCTTGAATCATCAGAATATTGCAAAAGATAAGTGTGGGTTTACGTCAGGGGTGAAATCCAGCAGGTTCTGGAGAACCGGTAGTGGAAATTTTGAGTAGTTCAGAGAACCGGCAAATACCACCTCTGGCTGGCCCCAGAGTAGGGTGGGAATGGGGATTTTACAGTATCCTTCCCCTGGAGTGGGGAGAGAATGGGGATTTTGCAGTATCCTTCCCCTGCAGAGGGGAGGGAGTGGGGATTTTGCAGTATCCTTCCCCTGAATTTTGGGAGGGAATGGGGATTTTGCAGTATCCTTCCCCTGCCACGCCCACCAAGCCACGCCCACAGAACCAGTAGTAAAAAAATTTGAATTTAACCACTGGTTTAGGTTCCAATGTCATCCCAACCAGCTATGAAATGTATCCCCTTATTGAAAATAAATTAATATTAATTACAGAGAGACCTATCTGGATCAGGTAATGTTGAATAAAAGTCAGGATTTTCCTGCTAGATTCTTTTTAAATCAAAGGATGCTCTCAGTTTAATCCATTCACGTGCAAATTTGTGATACATTCTTTTCCGTGAACACCTG